CTAAGATTATTTGAACACTTATTAGAACGCTCAAGTTCGATTGGAAATCGGTGAAAGCATGGAATTCCCAGGCGATCATGACTTCAATTTGTAATTGGCGGATCCTCGACCAGTGACAAATGACGAACCGTGTTCGCTGAATTTCTTTCGCGTTCGTATATAAATGTACACGGTGATGTAACGATCGAGGTATTTGGAATCGCGTTTATGTATACGCGATCGGTGTAACACGCACTCCGATGGTCCCGCGAGGGAAATGCTTATCGAAATGTCATCGTTCGATATTGATTTATTCAACTGGTAGAAAATAATGCTTGTTCCGTGGACGCATAAGAAAATCAACGCCTGTCGTTAAACGTATGTATTGTGCCAATCAAACTTGTTGATCGTTTTTGCAACTATCATAGATATATTCTTTAAACTTTCGAACTGAATATTACCTTCACACAAAATTGCATACTGTTTGAGAATCGAAATATTTCAAGTTTAAAATACTAATATTTGGTTAACACCTTCAGTATTATTATACAACATTACCAAGAAGAAATAATTTCATTTTATATCTTCTTTTCCACTACCGACTGTATTACAATATCAATGTTTTAGATCTCGATTAAAATATTCAATCAAATTTTTTAATAATGATGAATTATAGTACTTTTCAAAAACTTTGTGTTTGATTCCATTCTGTCACTCAAGCCTTTTAAAATAATATTTGTACATTTGTGGATGTTAGAATAAACAGCATGTAAATTATGAGATACTTTTTCAAAAAGAACTCCATAACTCATATAATTTCCATTAATTTTACTAAGAAGAGTTAGGTAAATCGATTATTTTTACTTAAAAGGAAATAACTTGAATACTGCAATATTAATAAATGCGTATGAAAGAAACAAGTTTATGTTTTATAATTCTTTCGAGGAAAAAATCCTGGAAATGACCTAATGAAAGTCATTCTAAATGAGAAATATTACGTTAATCGGGTTACGGACTTCGAGAAAAAGGATCGTTCTACAAAAGACTTCTTTCACGAAAAGGAAGATAAACGCAGTGCTTATACCGTTACGTTTTATTTCGCTTGTATGTCGCTGGAGATATTATAAATTTAAGCGATGCACCCCTGGCGACGTCCTGTAACAACCCCTTTAATGTATTAGGCATCCCGGAGGGATAAGACGCAGTATTTCCTGGTGGTACCATTTTTCTGGTTGACACCTAGGTAAGACCGGTTACCATACGTTTCAGGAATGAACAGTTAATTCACGAGAACCGGTGATGTACAACGTTACATCAGCACTCTCGAATATATTATTCAAAATATTTGGAAAATAATGCCTGAACTAGTGACAATGGTCATATGAACCGTTGAATTTCTTCGTACAACCGGCAAAGCTGAAAAGTGTTTTCACAGTTCGAAACCCAATTACTGTTTCTCTTTTGTAATATAAAATAATTTGATATTAGTTCAACTGCAACTGCAATTTTAATCTTTTTTCTTATAACGTCGACTCTGAGTCCTGTTGAAAATATTATTTACTTGGTTAATGTTATTGACAATAAATAATATTGAATTGTTATCAATTGAAAAAAATTGTCTTTTATTGAAAAATGTTTAATATTCACAGAATTCCTTTTTTTACTAGGAAATTTTCATCGATCAAGTAATTCCTGCAAATCTAATAAAAAAAGCTACAAGCCGAAAGACTAGAATATTGAAATTATTAATTTAATGATAGTTTATAGAATTGATTACTTATACCTTTATATTTTTATATTATTGTATACGTTGTATAATATAAAAATTCTATTTTACAAAGTAACAATGATTAAATTAATCATTTAAATATTCTAATTTCGGCTTATAGTTTTTTTCCACATTAGATTTGCAAGGATATATACATATATACATGTATGTATGACGTATAAGACAATAATACATGTGCGAGTCGTAAGTGGCACGCGGACTAATCTTGTTCATCGCAGGTGTAAACTATTAAGTTGATGAAAAGTAAATGGTTACCGTATATAACTGCAACGTTACAGTTCTATGTTCTCAACGTTAATGGATTAATGTAGAGACCCGCGATGGTAAATATTAACAATTTCATCGCCGGTGGTTATTTATTAATCTTTTGAGACAACAACAACCGCGATTATATACACAAACGAAGTCCTTTTTAAATTATACGACGTAACGATCTTTTTTTAAATTATTACTTAAAGAAAAATTATTGAAATCTTCTTGAACGTAATACAGATATTGAATAATCTATTAAACTGGCTTCTATTAGATAATTTTACAATGCTCGATCTTTGTGAAACTGTAAGAATAAAAAACAGACTTCTACATATTTTGCAATTGTAATCGAGAAAATGGTGTCTGTGGTATGTTCAGATAAGTACTCATTTCACATATGCGATTACATATAAAAAATGGCTTTTAACCATGAAAGTAACTTTTTGCATGAATAATTTAGAAATAATTTGAATGAGTTATATGTTGCTCTACTTTCTTAATAGCGGTGGCCACATTTTTAAAGGTTTGCAACATTAAATGGTGTAAAGTGATTTTATCATTACTTTTATTCGATTAGGTTCCAAATGTCTGTATTTAAATTCAATCTACTCGGCTAAAGGTCATTTCAAAGTAATGACCTCATAGGTCCTCGAATTTCTGTGATATTGATACAACATCGTATTATGAGAAACTGACGTCACTGTAGATTTTAATCAATTGATATTATATATTTTCAACTGATTTGAGATCCTAACTTTTAGAAAGAGTGATAAAAATACTACGGTAGCCATATTGTAATTCATTATCGAACTTTACACGTCACGTCGCTCCTTTGATGGGACAAAGTCAAGAATCAGAATAAAAACGAAAAACTAGTTTTGTATATAAATAGACATCATTACGTAAATATAATTTATGAACGTGAAAAATAGTATTCACGATTATTAATGACTTTTCACGTTATTTATCGCGAGAGCGAAAAGACGCGATTAATAATAAGACACTTTGTGTAAACGTAGCTTAGTATGAGACAAATTAAAGACAAAATAATTGCTCGTCGCTACTCAAAAGTTAGGTTTCTTGAATAATAATTAATAATAAATAATTTGAACAATATATTCGCATTTCCTTTCAAAACGTTTAAATAGATTTTCGCATCACCTGTTCCATCAGTGTGACAGTCTTCGAAGTTCAGATGAACATTCTACAAATTCAATTTGAGTACGTGAAATTTATTTTCATTTCAAGATGGAGCTTGATTTTGAAATTGAGTAGCTTTGTTAAAATAATCTCTTGCAGATTCCACTCGTTTCTTTCCGTTAACTTCGTTATCAGAGGTTCTTTTCGAGCGACATGCGCAGTGTATTTGAGATTTTAGAATACTCGTCGTAGGTACCATTTTAGAGCGAATTTCCTGGACAAAATCATTTGCTACTAGTGTAATAATAAGAAAACGAGTTCACTTGAGCTTCTCTTAACCGTTTGAGTGCGGAACGATTTACTCTGATACGTGCCAAAAATATAAAGTATATTTTATGTACATACATATATACCATAAAGAAATTACAATGAACATTAATTTATACTCTTCCCGAATATTATTAACAATAATAAAAATGCATCCCCAGTGAATGTTCGTAAGTAGATGTTCGCCACTGTATACACTTGTTATAAGTGTATATTGTTTCAATTCTATAAATGCAAACTTTCTGAATGAAAAGAAAGAATCTAAAGCACACATTGCATATTGCACAGTACTAGTGTGTTTTATAAAAATGATATTATATATTATAAATAAACAGGGTGTTGTTCGTGCTGTTGACGCAATACGAGAGAAACGCGAACGCAGTTAATTGAATAAACAAGTTTCCATTTTATTTCTCTTCAATAATTTAGGAGACCAACCTCTACGTACATGGTTACGAGCATTTGATTCTTTCCTCGAATTTATACATATTCCCAGACACTTGAAGTTTAATTCTTCAGTCTCTGCTTATAATTTCGGTTGTTTATATAAATTGAATAAATTTGAATTTGTTGATTTTATAAAATCTCTTCGTGTTTGTAAATGAAACTTTCACCAACGCATTTGTGAGATTCTTCTGATTAAAACAAGATGAAACATGACAAACTTTAAGTGACAATTTACTAGAAGGAAATAGATTATCGTAATTCATTAAATAAGCAAATATGTTCCAAAATATATCGTGTTTGGTCTCATTTTAACCAGAGAAACCTTACAATTCAATTAGCAAAAGTGTCAATTAGTAAAAGTGCAAAACAGAAAAGTATAACATTGCATTAATCCTTTGCTGACGAGTGTCGACACCTCAGCCGGATAAAATTTCCATATTTGGAAGAGTAACTCGCAAACGAATGATTCAATTACTCAAACAGCAAGAGATCAATGTACAATTTCTTTTCTTTCCATTGTTCAAGCAATCGACATATAATTAAACTTCATCTGCTAAAGGTTTCGTATATTTCAAAGAATCTTCGTCCGCGAAGGGTTAATATCCTCTCATTGACCTCTCTGTTGATCATTTCGAAGGTCGGACGTTTCACTCTTTCATTTCCGTTGTCCTCTACAGAGAACAAACAGAGGAGCTCGACTTCGAATCAACACCATTGCGCGATTAGTGCCCGGCTGCCACCCCGATTTTCAGGTACTACTCGCGAGGATACTGTAAAAGGTGCAGCATTCGAGAAAACTAGCAATCGCCTCGCGGAGCCGAGTCCGGAGGATGAAAACAACCCGAGAGGCGCACCGGGGCCGATCCAATTTTCAGCGGCACGAAACATTCTGATTCGCCTGGAGACCATTCTGCCGATGTCGCGTGTCGGGCGGAGGAACCCGGGTGCACCGGGTGCCATTTGACAAACGAAACGGAACGAACGCACAGCTGGTCGCAGAGGACCCTGAAAAATACCGGGAGATCGAGAAAGTATGCGGCGCGCACCGGGGGAAGCGCGCGAGTCCGGATCGAAAGCTCGGCCCGCGTACCTTGACGACCAGCGGAATGGAAGCAGGCAGCTTCAGTAGCTCGCGAGCCACCATCGTGGATACTTCTCGCCGCGCTCGTTCGTTCGCGGTGAACTCGTGATCGGGAACTGAATCGACGCTTTACTTACCGGAAATTTATCCAATGAATCGCACTTAATGTCCGCGCCGCATTAAAAACGAGCTTGAACATACTCCTTCGAATAATAGGTATCCTTCGAAGAAAACCGTTCTGTGAATCGATAACACTTGTTGGTACGATTTCGATCACTTAGGAGAATTGATCGCGACACCGGCTTCATTTCTGACAATCGTTGCCTTGCATTTTAAAGCAGAAATTAATTTCATATTTTCGTTTGGAGATTTGATTAAAGTTGTTCGGTATACTTTTTAATACAGAGTATAGTCTAGTGAAATATAGATTTATAGTAGTCTAGTTATTGTAAACTGATCATTTTGTAATATTTTCAATTATAAGTTATTATAGATTAATTGTATACGTTAGAAATTCGAAATCTAGCGACGGATGTGTCGGAGAATCCATAGTTTTTGGGTCTTGGTGTTAGGAAGACAGTTTTAAAGAGGCGCCGGTTGCTAAAGCGTTGATTCGGTCCTGTCATTCAGTGATACAAACGTGATCAGTCGGGGCCGATTAATCAATTCGTCCTGACCACTACGTACGGTGCGGTCTTGATGAGACCGGCACAGTGCGAACCGTGAAACGAGGATGAGGACGATTTCGTTTGCGCCTTCGTGTCCGCGCGTCGACCACTTCGGAGTGTAAATCAAGGGACCGAGCTTCGAACGCCATGCGGAGTATCTCGATTCTGATCCTTTGCGCCACAGGTAAAACGGCGTCCCGTTTCCCGGAGGATGTGTCGTCTAGCATTCGACGTTTAACTTGCTCGCGTCACGCGAAGCTATACTAAACACGTCGCGAATTTGTATTTTTATCATTTCCGAGAGCAAGCATTACAGACGGAACGCAGAGTTTAATGTTTCAGTAATCGATGAATGGTAAAAGTGAGGAAATAAGTGCGTACGTCATAATGCGATATTGTATCGATTGCTTAACCTTTTAACTGTGGAATTTAATTTGAAGAATCTCTGATAATGCTCCTAATGAATTGAAATAATGAAGTGTACCTGTAATATATTGTAACGAAAAGCTAAAGCAAAACGAAGAAGAATTACATGTTTACATGAAAAAGCGAAGAATTGATTGAAAAGAGTAGCATCATATTGATTTTAAGATAACGTGTATACTCGTCGAGCGCAATTAACTGATTAACCCGTCCTCGTGAAAGTATTCTAATATCTCGGCAATTTATGTTTTCGCTTTTATTATTACTGAACAGGAATATTTCAGAAAGAATTTAATATTTCAGTGATTTGTGAATGGTAGAAGCGAAGAAATTGTACGCATATACGTCATTATCTCGCCAATTTTTATTTTTATCTTCATCTTTGTTGTTTCTGAATACATACATCTCACAAAGAATGGAAAAGCAGGTCAGTGGTTTGTGAATAGTATAAGTGAAGAAATAGGCGGGGAGTAATATATGATAATAGCTGTAATATAATATGATGTTATCGGTAATATAACCGTAATAATAGTAGTAACATAATCATAACACTAACGGTTTCGCGAACATTATATTATTCGCTAACAGTCTGAACACAGTAAAAGATTCATTTTCGAAGTTGCGAATTAATTTATAAACAAGGTGATTCTTCGACCATTGATGATTAAAAATGATAAAAATAATAATGCACGAGCACGGGATCTAGTTTAATCAACTTTAAATTCAAACTGAGATTCAACAGGAAAATAAAAACCGTTAAAACTAAGAAAGTTAATTTAGACTTGTGAAATTGATATAATGAACTGTTTGAACATTTTTTAATCAGTTTGGGTGTTTAGAAATCAGTACTGTACTGACGGAGGTAGGAAAATGATGATTTTATATATTATACATTAAAATGAACATTTGCTTCACGAGTAGATAAGAGAACAAATATGTTATTGATGGAAACATGGATATGAAGAACAAATTAAGTCATGTTTTATGGCTGACAGACTTAAGAGGGAAGTTTCGAACCGTTCAGAATATGTAACTAGTATTTTAGCAAATGAGTTTGATAACTTCGAACGCGTGTTTATCATTTATATCATGCTCATCCCTTGCTGACCACTCAAAGAAGTTTATTTAACTTTATTTCTCATTCTTTGTTTCGCTATGGAAATGTAAGAATTAATTCAATGCTACTAATTTACATGTAACGCTGCAGAATTACAAATAAGATTTCCCCTCTGTCCTTTTACCTCACAATTTTTTCCCTGTAAATTGATCCGAATTTTAAAAAGATATTTCATTTAAACAATTTCTTAACGAAAAAAATCACGTGTTCACTGTAAGAGTACATTTGCTGTAGAAAACAGTGTCTTTCTTCAGTTGGCATGAACTAAGCAATATTCACAATCAGTAAATTCAATATGAAAACCTTTACCACGAGTTTGATTCAATAATGACAAAGTATTAGTTGAATATCATCTCTGATATTAATGTGACGGCTAAGCATGGTCCGTTCAATTATATTCAAAAATTCCTGTCCTCGATGCTGGACGATATTAGAGGTCCTCAAAATAAAACAGTAAATAATACATTGAACACGAAACCGTGACAAGTGCAATACTGTTGACTCGACAACAGGTTTCACGTGAATAGTATCTACGAAGTAATTAGGTGGTTTAATCGTAATGTCAGGAGCTTGCTACGAGAATTCTAATGGCGTGTAAGAATGAGAACTATTCGCACTATAATTGCTGGAACTGCATTTCGATTGGGGTTCGTACCACGACATGAAAGTTAACACGAACGTTCATCTATGACGCAGAAACACGGTGTTGAATGAAAACGTTCGTACACCAGAATTCCACGATCACGTTCTATTAAAAAATTCATTAAAATTTATACGAACACTATTCAATTTTTTCCTGTGAAATCCTTTCTATGATCCTTGCACGTGCAATGGACTCTCGATTAAAAAATGACTATAACGATATCTGATTTTATTCAATTACAAAAATTAAATTATACTGAAGCAAATAAAAGATAAATGTATTCTTCTGTCAGAAAATGCCAGTGAAATAATAATTGAATAAAATTAAATTACATATGAATACATATCGCCTGATACATTATAGAAATTAGTGGACGCCAGACGGCGGAGTTACAAGATGCGCTTATCGACAGTCACGTGGCGCGTTAATTGGTACAGTAGAAATAATGGTGACTAACGACGGACTTAAGAGTAACCAGGCAAGCTGATAACGCAACTTGAGATTATTATCTCAATACCTGAGCTATTTAAAGCGTTGTATGATAATCTATTACAGAGGAAGCGATTATATAATCGGCATCGTAATCGACCGTGAAGAATCACGGGTGTCCAGAAGAAGAATGTCCACCAAGACGGTGTGATTCGTGCACATTAATCAGTACCAGAAATAAACAAAGCGGTCAATGAACCTGGCGCACGACGATTCGTGTAAATAAATTATTTATAAAACACTAAACCGTTTTAATACAATGCACCGACTTTAATTGCTCGTTGCAGGAAAAATAAAATAAACGAAATAATACGGTATCTAATAATATATGTAAAATAGATAATATTTGTATAAATTAAATCTTTTATAGATAGAAGTCTATGCGTGAGAAGTATTTATTTGTTATTCAACTTTTAAAGAGAAAATCAACTTCGTGAAATCATGAGTTCCTGTAGTTTTATATATTTCGTTAATTCGTGGAAGTTTGTTAATTATCGTCGATTTGTAGATACGAAAATGTTTGATCGAACGATATGGTAGACTGAAATATTTTGCTGTTACATAACGTGACATAGGCCCAATAAAAATAAGGCCACGTATACCTATTGAATAGCCAGAAGTCCGATGTGAACAGATCGGCCATCTATTTTTGTTAGAGGGTACACGAATCTGCACGCATAAGAGCAGATAGGATGGTGCCGAATCTCGAATGTGTCATAAGAATAGCGCAACTACCAGGAAATCTACACCTTCAAACTCGTAGACTACGGTAGCACACAATCTTCGCATCCTTTTGTTCGGACACATGCATTGACCAGTTAGTTCATCTTAAAGCTTGAAATGATACTAATTTCTTCAACGATGAATTCTTCATTTTTTCACATAAAAAACAATTTGAAACATGTAATTCTTCTGTGTTTTGTTTTGATTTTTTTTCATCATTTTTTTATTTCATTGCACGCAAAACGAGAGATTTTGAAACTTAATTCCACAATTAACGGGTTAATACTGGAAATTACTTGAAACGAAGTTCGAAATGACCGTTCGTTAAAATCAAGTAAAATTGAATGAATTAACGGACGTTTTCGATGAAAGTATTATTTATTGTAATATAGTAAGGAATAAAAGTAAATAAAATAAGAAAACAGTGTTTTCCATAATAGGTATCAGGAAAAGCTTGTTTCTATTCCTTTTTCTAACAATGATTTTGAAAATTTGAATTTTCATAAACATCCGTAATCTATTCGTCAGAAAATAGTCATAGAAAACTTAAACAAATTATTGACACTTAGAACAGTTTTTCATTTATGTATAATTATATATATAATATTTTAGTTTTATATATAATTTATATGTTTTATAATGTAATAGACGAAACATTTAAATTTGACATTGTACCTTAACCATATATAAATGAACATTCGTATGAATTGCCGACTTCCGCCACTTTTACGAATTCAAATTTACATTTTTAACATCTGCCAAAACTACGAACGTTAATTGGTACGTTTTTCTATTTTTTAATTAAAATGTAATGATATACCTCTGAAGTTGTGCCACTTTGTTTGAAATAAATAGAAGAAATATAAAAATATTCGTGTCTTTAATTCGCAATCTATAAGTGGAATTATTATTAATTATTAGTTACATAGTAATACTAATTTAAGTTTAGTTATCTAGGGTTCAATTTTTGGTCTATTGCATTGTACTTAAATTTAGTCTAATATTATTTTGTACAGTGCTCTCGGAAAATTGATTTCTACTGTTGTTTAACTGGAGTAAATGATTCGTATACAGATGTCAGTGGAAAGTAGTGCGCATTAAGAATTTCTTTCCTTTTTTAATTGAGTGCTACATAGATTTTACTACAGGTTTGAAATTAGAACTCGATGCAGCTTTCACCCAATCATTAAGGGATTATTCTGCTAAAACAGATCAATTTCTTCTTCATTTGTAGAAAGTCAGTGTTGTATTTCTGTAGTTGGTTTCATTTGTCAAAGAATAATCTAGTATTTCTGTGGAATACTGAAACAATTCCAATTAAACCTTATTTATTGAAATGTTTCAATTTATATTCAAAACACGAAGTGATCAATTTATACCAAACCGTAACTTCTCCTTAGAAATCAAGTCCGTTTCTTTCCGTCGTGTCGACAAATAAAAGAACTGAAGTCTGCGTTATTGCGTTCGGAATTTAAAGAATCATCTGATTCTACAAATCTACGCTAATAGTAACACAACATACCAGGGACGCAATTTATAGACCTCTTATGAAATCCTCGACAGTCGTATCTAAAACCAGTTCTCGCGTGAAATATTTCTTTCTATAATTGACTAAATTCCCAATAGAAAACTGTCAATGGCCTTCGTGATCTAACAGAAATGATTTCAAACGAAAATTATGAACACGTGCACATAAATTATACGACTGATATTATAATATCATATCACAATACAATATCGCGATATAATATCGTTGTTTTATAACACAAGAGGGATGAAATATCAGAAC